AGTTGCTGGCTGCCTCACAAAGGCTACCCTCAAAACTTCTGTTTTAGGTCAGGTTCACGCCAAAGGTTGAACAAAGCTGGTCAGTGGCTGAAGCTTTTCTACATTCCCTGCATTCATAAACATATCTGGGTTGTTACTGTTGCTAGTGAGAGCAGACCTTTGCTCAAAGGCTTTCCCATGATCAATCAGTGCCTGTGTGACTCATTCCAGCACTGGGATGTCTCTGGGGCTAAAGAGATGGAAGAACGGGCAGAGGATCTCCAAACTGAAGCACTGAAGCATTTTGTGCAGTGGACACTCTGCTGGGGAATTACATTAGACAACTACGGTATTGTCCGTGTTCACTGCACTCACAATGCATCCATCACCTGGGAATCTTCCAGTGTCTATAAAGGCCAGAAGTGCTAGGAAAACCATTCCCACATTCCCTGAGCTCAAATGACGTTGTTGCAGTGTGAACTCTCTGATGTTAAATGAGGCTGGATGTTCAGGAAAGACTCCCACACTCATTGCTGTCCTCTGCTATGAACATTGTTTGTGTGTTTTGTAAGGTAAGAGTTTTTGGTAAAAGACTTCCCACATTCACTGCTCTCAAAAGGCTTTTCCCCAGTATGAATTAGCCTATGACTTCGAAGGCCACGTTTTCCCCTAAATGCTTTTCCACACTCACTGCACTCATAAGGTTTTTCTCCAGTATGACCTTGCAAATGACTTATAAGGCTGGGTTTCTCCCTAAACACTTTCCCACACTCACTGCACTCATAAGGCATTTCTCCAGTATGAATTCGCCAGTGACTTATAAGGCTGTATTTTCTCATATACACTTTTCCACATTCACTGCACTCATAGGGCTTTTCCCCGGTGTGAACGCGGATATGATGACGTTTAAGGGTGGATCTGAACCTGAATGATTCCCCACATTCAGGGCACTTAAAAGGCTTTTCAGCAGTGTGACAAACTAAGTGTTCCTTGAGATGAGAATTTCGGATAAAGGATTTCCCACATTTTTCACATTTATAACGCCTTTCTCCAGTGTGGCTTCTGTGATGTTGAAGGAGTTTGCAGTGATACTTGAAACCCTGTCCACATTCACTGCATCTAAAAGGCTTTTCTTCAGTGTGGACGCTGCGGTGTTGAATGAGGTCACTATTGCAACCAAAGGATTTCCCACATTCGGTACACACATACGGTCTTTCTCCACCATGAATTGTTTGGTGCGCCAGAAGGTTAGATTTATGTTTAAATCGTTTCCTACATTCACTGCATTCATAAGGCTTTTCTCCCGGGTGTAGTGTCTGGTGCTGAGTAAGTACAGAATTCTGACTAAAGGTTTTCCCACCATCACTGCATTGGTAGTTGCTGTTCCCACTGGGACAGGCCTCTCCACTGTTAGAGTTCCTGGATGACTTCCCGACTCCACGAGTCAGCTGATGCCTAAGACCTGGGCTGGGCTGCACGTCCATCCCATTATTCCTGCTTTGTAAATTCTTCAACTGATGTTTTGTGCCGTTCTTCTTTACAGAGATCCTGGCCTCTTCTATTTGTAAGGGCTTCTCACCACGTCTCGGCTTTTGCTGCTGGGGAATGGCCGCACTGAGTCCTTCATCTGTAGAAATACTCTGCACAGCAGGTACATTTTCAGCCTCCACTCCATTCCAACAACCTGAGTAAGAGAAATGCTGATGAAGGGAATGGAGACTTTGGTGTGGAAGCACATGCTAGAGACGAGGACGGGAGATTTTTCAGGATGAAGGGGTCAGGTGAGAGTGGGAAGGACACACTGCAGTGCTGCATCTACCAAGACCACAGCCCAGAGGTCTCCTGAGGAGTGGGATAGCCCTGGTTCAGAAATACTACAGATGATGACCCCGCACCTGGGCAAGCTATAACAGAGGGAAATCTGAAATAATCCTGCCCTTTGGCCCAGAACATGAGAACCAGGAAATGATGTTTGACATGAACCTCCTGGAGAGCTGACACATCACCCAGCTTCAACCTCCTCGTACCTGTCCACATAGCTGGAGTCATGATTCCCAGTGCCTGGATGAAGGGCTCTCCCCACAGCTCCAGATGACTGATTTCTTGGGTTCCAGAAGGTACAAGTCCTATGAGAAAGGTAGGACAGGTGAACAACCTACACTAGAAAAACAGACCCAACCACGACAGTCCTTAGAAGAGAAAACCAATGGAAAGCTCCTCAGAGGAGAGTGACCTGAGAAAAACCATGAAATAGTGACCACATCAGTGCCACCATTCTACCGCAGGCAGAAGAAATGCATGTCAGTGGGGGGAAAAGGGCAGGGCCTGGGATGGTCTATTGCTGTGATAGAAACACTGATCAAAGTAATTTATAGAAAGAAAACTTTACTTGATCTTAGGTTTCCAAGGGTCCACAGTCCATCATCACCATGATAAGAGGTTGCTGGAGGCGGAGTAGAAGCTAAGGTCCCACATCTTCAAGCTGGGACAGGATGCAAAAGAGGGACTGGAGATCCAGCAAAGTATAAGCCCTCTCTGAGCCTGCCCCAGTGCCATGCTTCCGCCAGCATAGCCGCGCCTGCTCAGACCTCCCAGACCAGTGCCAGCAACTGGGGACAAATATCCAAATACTTGGAGCTTATAGATTATTCAAACCATCAAATTGCATCATAGAAGTGACATGTATTTATAGTGTCACCAGACTATGGAGAGGCAGTATGGTCAGCTCTACAAGGGTTACCAGTTAAAACTGCCCTGACCCCAAGCTGCTTCCGGCCTGTCTTTGCTGTGCTTCATAGGGGAGATGGTGATGTTCCCAGTCCAGGAATG